TGCCCAAAAATAGCCCTGGTTGCCAGCAAGTTTCCAGTAAATCATATATGCCTGCCCAAAAAGTAAGATGAGAAGACTGATCGCCATCAGAGAGGGGCTTTTTTAGTGGTGGCACCTTGCCACTGGAACTATCTCCCCAGAGAGATCAAGCTGCTACCTAATCATTCCGGCTCCAGGTGCAGATACAATGTTTTTTTGCTTCCAGGCTTTTTCACTGTTGTCCTATTTCAGTTGGCTTCAGTGGCTCTGTTTTGGTATTTTGTATGACTGGTTTGATCTTTCTGATGTTTCTTAATAGTTTTTAGGATGATGTTTTTTACAACTGTATTTTTATTATTGCTTTTTTAAAAAAATATTGCATTTGGGTGTTTTGAGATTAGGTATTTTATTGGTTTGCCTCTTCAATTTGGAAACTTCTTTGGAAGACCTTTTTTGAGGCTAAACGTTTTCAAGGTAAACATTTATTAAATAAACCAAATCCTGCAGCAGCAAAGAAGCCCACATAGTTATGAATTTTGCAGTTCCAGGTTTTTGCTCCCACATTTGGTACAGCACCCATTCACTCAACAGAATCAATCGGCTAGTTAAAAATACACTGCTCTGGCACAAGTTCAGAGCACAGGCGCATCTCTGAATGGTTCCACAGACTATTCTCATCCATGTAACAATACCACGCCTCCAAATATGCAATCCCGTGTGTTTCCTTCCTAGAGATGTGAAGGCCCGGAAAAAACCCGGAAAAATTTGGAAAAAAAACGTTTTTTTTCTATTTTTTCCCTGAAGCTTTTTTATTTTTTTCCGAAAAATTGGAAAAATTGAAAAAAGAAAAGAAAAGAAAAAAATTGATTATGGAACGTTTTATTTTAACATGATGAATAAAATATTTTAAGACAAGGTGTTCAAATATTTTCCAAATCATTTCTAATATATATATGGTATCAGATTGATCTAATTTCTGTGCACTGAGGACAAGCAAGTCCTAGGTTACAAACTGAACTCTCCAATGCAAGCACAAGATGCATTTCTTCCTTTAGGAGGTGCGATTGTCAGAAGAAAATAAAAAAGTTTCAATTTTGTTTTTGCATGTGGGTGGGTATTCTGTTTGTAATAATTGTTTGGATACACTATATTTTTAATATGCTAGTATTGATAATTTCATGCCAAGTAAAAATGTCCATAGTCATATTTTATGTTCCTAAAGTAACAGAATGACTTTCAATCTAGAAAAGACAAAATAAATGCTAATGTAGTATTTTTTTCAATTTTTCAGAAAATTTTCGGTTTTTTCCGAAAAAAACCCGGGGTTTTTTCCGAGCTTCAAAATTTCCGGAAATTTTACATCTCTATTCCTTCCCAACAGATAGCTCTCGAGAACAGCTGTAGTTGCATGCATTTCCTCGTCGTCGTTTGGAATAAGCCATCTATAGAGTACTACATGAGGCGTGGCGCTTCAGACCTTTCCACTGAGGAGGGCTGGCATCTCTTCAGGTTTGACAAAGAACAGCTTATCACAATGGCTGATGGACAATAAAAAGAACTTTCTTTTTTATCATTCCAAGCTTTGAAGCCAATGAGCTCATCAGGTCTGCAAAAACATATAGCCCGCCACGGCCGTCCCCTCCATGCCTCTCAAGCAGGGTAGTATAAGAGCAACAGAAATTAAAAAAAACAGTTGGCCTGCTTTGTGACTTATTTTGATATGTCGCTATTATTATTATTTTGCCTGAGGACACCCACAGGGCCCCGCAGCTTCCTGGCGTTCTCTTACGTTTCCTGCTTCTTCACTGTGTCTCACAGCGGTTGAGGCGGGCCTAATCCTGTGGCTCATCAAAAACGCTTGCACCGTAGAACTCTGCTCATGGGAAAGTCTGGTGCAGCAGATACTCAGCTGGATCGTAGCACCAGCACAAAGGGCTCTTTTTGTAGCAGGTACTCATTTGCATATTAAGCGACACACACCCTAATGTAGCCAATCCTCCAAGAGCTTACAGTAGCTCCTGTAAGAAGAGCTCTGTAAGCTCTTGGAGGATTGGCTACATTAGGGCTGTGTGGCCTAATATGCAAAGGAGGTCCTGCTACAAGGAGGCAGAAACATCTTCTGCATCATTTACTGGCTGGTCCCTTTAACTGGAGATTCTGGGGTTTGAACCTGGCACCTTCTGCCTGCCAAGCAGAGGCTCTGCCACTGAGCCATGGCCCCTCCCTTCCCCCAGCCTCTTCTTACACAGCAGAGCCTGGTACTATAGCAGAATCAGACGTTAGGATAAGTCAGCCAAGCTGGAACGTGAGTGACGTGTGCTGCTTCTGTAATGACCAATGGGGAGGGATGCATGTGTCTCTCCTTTTGGGAGAAGGCTAGTGACCCCCGTAGTTTCTTCACTGAATTTTTAAATTCTGCTTTTTTCAACCACGAATCGGCTCCCAATAACAGAACATACAATCCAACATGAAAGCCAAGACAGTGCTCTGAGAGGGAGTTCTCAGCAAAGTCGAAGTTCCCGGGCGAGAGAAGAGTCTGCGGCTGCTCTTTCCTACCTCTGCGTGCTTCGGAGCTGATCGCTAGGGAAAGGGGGAGGGGCTTTCAGATGGAATGTAGCATCCGGAGACCCTGGACTCCCAAGCTCCCAGCCACACTCTGCATTCAGGCCCCTCTCTGGGCTTCAGTGCCATTCCTTATGGGGAGCCAGTGGTAGCCAAGTCAGCAGAGGTGGACACCAGCATCTCCCGCTAAAGAACTACAAATCCCATGTCAGGGAGACATTTAAAACCCCCCCCCCCCCCAAGTCTTTCTGCAAAAGCAGAGAGGCTCAGGGGGAAAGGCAGGCCCGCTCTGGGGCGCTCCGGCAGGAAATGACCCCTGCCTGTGGGTAAAATACCTGATCCAATACCACAGAAATCAACTTAAGCAGTCATCCTACACCCCTGTCAGACACAATAGACAGTTGTGGGGACGGCTCAGGCATCCCAAGAGAGGCAATACTCCTTTGGCCATTACACGGTAAGTACAAAAAGCAAATGCTTTTCTTGCAACTCGTAAAACCACTCTCATACGCATCCCTCTAAAATTAGCATCATATTGGAAATGCCACTTATAATGCAATGCAACCATTATCCGTAAACTACCGTTAACAAGAGCTGCATTTCCCCCCCTTCTCTCCTACTGTCAGCAAAACGTTAAAAGCCAGTGTGGTTGCAGAGTGCGATCATTTACGTACAACACCCCTGGATCAGAAATAAGCCGAAGCAGGAGACAGAGGAAAGAGGAAAAAAGGGTGTTTAAATACTTATCTTTTACTATGTGGATTGGAAAAGAAGCAGCATAGTAATCTATTTTACCATTGACATTAGCTACCAGCGTGACAACAATCTCATCCGAAGCACTCCAGGACCTATAAAATGGTCTTGGTCTGTGTATCAAGGGAGTAGGTATACTTCCAAAAACCAGAAAATATTTTTTGGGTAGCAAGAAGTAGTAAAAAATTTATACAGTGGCAACGAAGGACAAGTAAATTGGCTATACAGGGATGGTTAAGAAAATACCTGATGCCACCACATAAAGCACACACACAAATCGCTTTATGCTTCCCAGTTTAATGTCCCATCATTATCATATCCCGAAGACAGGACCAGTCGGGTGTGTTAGCTTCTGGTACTGTACATATCCACGTCTTCTGGATTGGACTGGCCGTGGTCCATGAGGCTGGGATCGGGTTTAAACTTTGATACCTTCAATGTATCTATTAAATAAAGAAAAAGGTTGCACTACTCGCATCTTCATCTATAAAACCATTTACATCTTCTGCTCCTACCCACAGAATGGATCCCCCCACAACAGGTTACAAGGCATTCGAAACACAAAAATTCCCATTGCAATCCAACATCACACGCCAGCATCATAAAACCAACAGCATTAAAACCAACATCAGATTAAAACGATCATTAAAACAGCTTCCTTACAAATAAATGGAAGAAACATCAATCATCTCGGGCCAGAACCTCGGTGACACTCATCACCCATGTTTGGATTCCCCAGATGTGTAAATGCATTGCCAGAAGCAGCCATCAGTGGACTTGGATCAGGGCTACAGAACTTGTACAGGAGGATTAATCCTCCCTCCCTCCCTCCCTCCCTCCACACTGTTTCCCAGTCAAAACTGCCCCTCCCCACCCGTTGAAGCCCTCGCCAGGAAAAAGAGGCACAAAAACATCCTGCAGGAGGGGGTTTCTGATTGGGGGGGGAAAAGGAGAAAGGGAACTTATTTATTTACTCAAATCTATAATCCGCCTTCCCCGTGAATGGGCTCAGGGCAGATCACAGCAATCATTAGGCTATCTGGCAACACGAAATGTAATAATAATTAAAACAGCCATGGCCTTGGATCCACAATCCTCCTCTCGCTTTGCCCCAGGGCTGCTTTCTATCGTTCCAGTTATATGGCCTGGGGATCCACAGATCCCTACCGTGCTGTGCGGCACGGAGTTTACAGAGCAGCATCTCTAAAAAGCCATGGTCAAATGATCTGTGTGAAACCTTGGCAGGGTACCAATTAATCTGGCACCCTCTGATTGGTTAAGGTTTCAGGAGAGGACATGTTCAGTAAAAAAAAAAAAAATTAACAGAGGCCTAGCAAGGGAACCTTTACTTTTTTAGGTCACCATGGGTTGGAAGCTATCTGGCGACACCACCTGACACGCACACACAGAGGCCGAACGGGCCTTCTACGCCATCTAGTTCAACTCCTGGTCCAGGGCAGGAGATCCAAAGCTTGAGTATTCACAGGAGATGGCTGTCTAGCTTCTACCTGAAAACCTCTAGCAAATGAGAGCCCCACCCCCAGCCACTGTATTATATACTACATTACTGACGGTGTTAATTTTCTTTCGTACCTGATATGACACTCGGCACCTTCACTTCAGCTATCAAAGGCACTGAATCTGACTCAGGAACAGTTTCCCCTGCATGCAGTTGTGTCTCGTGTGCTTTTGCCTTTTCCTCTGATTCCGAAGCCGCTGTATGAGCTTCTGGGATGCTATGGTCTGTTCTAGCGACCGAAGATTCCTGTAGTAGGACGGAATTATAGTAAAACAGAATCGTAAAGTGAGTCAGACAAAAAATATAACTGTTTTACGCACGCTTTGTGACAAGGCACTAAACAGAATGGTTGCTAAATACAGAACTTCTAATCCGTATCAAGAGGGTCGACTGTCATTAGAAATTAGTTCATACAAAACACCTCTGTGTTTTTGTGCTGATATGGGAGCTCTTGCCAGTAGTCTCCAAATGGTGGCACGGAAAAGGTGGAAAGAGCTACATCTTATGGACAAACCCCAAGGTTTGAAAAACAGGCACTTGCCCAGCCGTCTGTCATTCAGGCCACCAATCAGAAAAGGCCTTTTTAAAACGGTCCTTTACTCCCGGGCCAAAAATGAGAACAGAGGGTCAGACTAAATGAGGTTTCTGAGTTGAGTGTTCCCCCATTTTTTTCTTTTTAAACAGCAGCAGCGTGGGAAGCCCAGGTGGGACGACAGCATGCAAGGGAGAAGGGTGTGTGCACTTGTTAACCCCGCCCCCCTGGCGCCATTTCCCCAACCTGAAAGAGCTCTGCCTGCTGGGCACAGAGGCAAACAAGCGTCCAGGCAGTCGTTATATTTGCACCAAGGGAGGAAAAGCAGGCCAAAAGAGTCGGATACCCTGGAGGCATAGAAAACTGACCTGCTCAAGCCCTCCACAGCTTAAAAGTTGACAGGATCCCTGGAGGGGGAAATTGGGAACAAGGAAGCGATCCGTGGGACATGTGTCCCCTGACCCCAATCTCCTCTCGCTCGCCACTCCAGGCTACGATAAGCTTTTAAGAGCTGTGGCCAATTAGAAGCTACGAGTCCTATCAGAAGGATTAATTAGGTTTGGAGGAAAGCTCTTTCTCTGATCCCGATTAACCACAGCTTCTGAAGGACGCTTCCACACAGCCTCCAACAGCTTGCACAGTTTTTAGCAACGGTCCGTGCTGGGATCCAGGGCTAGCTTCTACTCGTCTCGTTCCAAATCTCAGCGGCCAAGGTAACTGTTACATCACTACCCTACTGAGGTTTAGGTCTAGGTGACCTGGAGACGACTCATCTGGACCTGGAGCTTAGACGTTGCACACTATGATGCTTATAAGCCAGGGCAGGGCAATCTCCTTTGGCCCAGGTGCTGAAAGAAAGGCAGCACCTACCTGTGAAGAGGTCAGCGTGCCAGCAAACAAAATGGAAAAATATTTATTTTTTTATCATTCAATTTATATCCCGCTCGAACCCCGAAGGGTCTCTGAGTGGCTTACACACAACCATTTGGTTCCTAACTAAGGCCACAATTATATGGGGGGTGACTTCCTATCAGCACCCGGCAGCGGGACTTGTTGTTGGAGTCTGGCTTCTTCCGGCAGCCACAGATGTCGGCGCTCCACTTCCAATGTCCTGGGGCAGATTTCTTCCTGTTCCGTGGCTTCCTCCGGCGGGCTCCTCCAGTGCACGGCCCCGCGACCGCCGCAAGTATAAAATATATAAAATATAAAACATACCTGACTAACTTGATTTAAAGCTTCTGCCAACAGTTTCTGATTGATACCACACAGATTTGCCACTTTCTCTTGACATTCGTGGTGCACGTTCATTCCACATTCTAAAGAAATAAAATTATAATCATAACCGATTAATCTATTCTAGTCAACAATAACAAAGTGTTCAAATGCATGTGATTTGCTTTATGAGACATTTAACTGAACTCAAATACAAGCTTACTTCTCAACCCTCAATAGTAAAAAGAGAAGGGAAAAACCCACGCCTTCAGTAAAAAGCCAGAACAGCACTAGGTGTGGAAGCCACTTATCAGTCCATTTCTCTGAACACAGCTGAGAGTGCAAGGCACACTTCTTAAACCAAGAAGTGTGTGTGGAAGAGTTAAACACAACATCCCTCCCTCTGACATACAAATACACAATGTGGAAGTCATGCCTTCACCTGGATAAAGAGCCAGGGCTACAATAGTCAAAAGAAGAAGACCCTACCTCCACACTTTGATCCTTGTTTAACCAGTCCCCAGAGAAGACTACCACAGTGATCACAAAATGTTGGACTCATGTAGCTGTAGACTTTGAATCTGTGAGGCTTATCGATGTGGAAGCGCTCCTTCTGGAACTGAAGGTATATTGACATTACAGTAGAGTAACACAAATATCTGGAATTTCCTCGCTCTCTCATGTTTGCCATTGCAAAATTAAAGTTGTTCATGTGATGAAAGGCACAGACTCAAAAGAACTAAAATGCATTTATGAAGGGAAGATCTGAAACCTATCCTTTCTTCAGTTGACTATCTAGCCTATGGGCTTGCGGCAAGAAAAACAAAAACCTTGAATCACCTAACTCCCTTCCCCTTCCTGGGCCCAAAGACCAGGGCCAGGTGTAAGGGATAAGGGCTGAACAAGCCTATAATTTGATAAGCCCTGACGATTGGGAGAGGGTCATAAGTTTGGCAGGACCTTACCTGGCAAGGAGGGGGATATAGCTTTGTTGTGATAACTACCAGCAGCTGCAAGGTTCTGTAATCTGAAGGCCAGAAGGCGGCCAGAAGAAGCAGGCCAGAAGAAGTTTTTCCTTGGTGTTACTTTCCTTTCTGGGGTGTGTGTGTGTGTCAGGAATGGGATAGCATTCCCGTCAACTACTCAGGAGGGACCGGAGTATTTCTGGCACTGAGGGATAACCTGCTTCAAAAGATGGAATCGACTCCCGTTTTATTGTGAGTTGCTACAGAGCTTGTTATAAAGACTTAATCTGTAAGAAGCTGCAACCTTCTTTTTAAGAATTATTAGCTATCCTGGTATTTTAATGTTTTATTGTCGATTGCTCATACGCTGGATGACTTTTGCAGTGCATACATCCTGAGTGTTTGAATGTTTTTACTCAATTAAATGAAACAAGTTTTTTTTACATTTTGCGGCGTGCTGAGAGTTTCCTTTCTGCTGGCGAGCTGCGAATTTATCTACTGAAGCGAACCCCAAGGTCAGTTGGACCTGATACCACGGCCTTCTCAGCCTTGGTGGAACTCTCTGCCGAATGACATCTGTGCCCTGTCTGATCTATTAAAGTTCCGCAGGGCATGTAAGGCAGAGATGTTCCGCCAGGCTTTTGGGTGAAGCCAGCGATGGTTTCCTACATCTGCCTGGTACCCTCCCCCTCTCCCCCCTCCCAAAAATATGAATGCTAGACAGGCCATCTGTTATTGGAATGTTTAAAATGTATGTTGTTTGTTTAATATTGGCTGCGGTCACACGGAACATTAGCCACGCTAGAGAGACGGAAGTCAGGCGGAGTTTCCGGGCGCGATCTCACCGGCACATTTGAGAAGCGTAGCGCTTCCGTGGCTCAACCGAGGCTTCCCGCCGAAACCGCGCTGCAAAAAACTAGTACCTCGGAGGTACTAGTTTCCGGAAACTGCGGGGCAAGGGCGGGCGTCTGATCACGTTTCCGGTGGCATCCAGCGGCCGCCCATGTCCCCTTGCAAACAAGGTGTTTTTTTCCCAGTCTCCGTGGATGCGCACAAGCACCCAACGGAGCATGCGCATTTTTGGTGTACACGACAAAAACAAAACACCCGTTTGCCGCACCGTGCGCTTCGTTGTTGCGCGCAGGATCGTCCTGTGATCAGCACCTCTCCCTTCCCACTGAACCTCCACGGGACCTGCACGGAACCTCCAGGGGAGGTCTGATCCCTTAACCACGTGTTAGTTTGCCCCGGGGCAAACAGCCACGCCCCCCCCGCAGTTTCCTGCCCGTGTTACCAGAGCCATTGTATGTTTATGGTTTTAATTGGTTTTATAATTGTATGGAATTATTTTGTTGTAAACCGCCCTGAGCCCTGCGTAGGCGGGGAAGGGCGGTTAAAACATCCAATTAATAAATAAATAAGGGTAGACCATCAAAAGATACACAACTTTCACAAGTAAACAGTAGACATCAGTCTATTGCGATACAATAACAATAAATTGAAGATACAATAGAATTGGTGGTCACAATTTAAAAACACTATTTGAAAATTCAAAATACAATTTGACGACAGTGGAAAATATCCAACAAGAGACTCCTCTATATCCTTTTAATAGAATAGTGTCTTCAGTCACACAGTCGAGTCCGACTCTTCGCGACCCCATGGGCCAGATCATGCCAGGCCTTTTAATATAATAGTGTCCAAAAGACCTCAAAGTCCATGAAAAAGGCAGAGGATGTCCCAAAGCACAAATAAACTTCTAACAGCCAAAAACGTCCTTCCCAGGTATGCCAGACGTTTCAAAGCAATCTTCTTCAGTTGTACAGCTGAAAACGGAACCCAATTTCCATAGTAATGTAGGCACAGCTCATATCTCAAATAGAATCTGTGGTTCCACTATCATCAAATTGTATTTTGAATGTGCAAATAGTGTTTTTGAATGGTGACCATCAATTCTATCGTATCTTCAATTTATTGTTATTGTATTGCAATACACTGATGTCTACTGTTTACTTGTGAAAGTTGTGTATCTTTTGATGGGTCTACCCTTGCGGTTTATATTTTCTGGCTTAGCAAGCAAATTGGGGCAGGTGAGCGGGAGACCAGGGCTGTTACTTGGCCAGGCACAACTGGGGCAAGCCAAGCCCCACTGGAGCTGCCAGCATCTCAGGGAAATGCCTTGGATGTGGCTGGTCTAAGAGAGGATGATGGGCATAAGTCACACCTGTTGCCTTCTGTACCACTTGGCCCCAGTGGTGCTGCCAGTTCCTCCATTGCATGGGCAGAGATCTGGCCCTGGGTGCCAAGCAAACCAGTCTACTTTGCCAGGGGTTGCCCACCTCAGCCTTTGAACCTCAAAATGTGCTTCAGTGTTGCAACGTTTCCACAAATGCCAATTTTCTGACACACATAACTTAAAGACAATGCAGATCGCTGAAAGGTTCTTACGCTGTGTCACTAAAAGTTCAAAAAGAGCTTACCTCAGCAGCCTCATCCAGGACGAGGGGTACTTCGGCAGTGGATCGTTTTGTCCAGAGTGATCCTATTGCTTCATAGGTTTTGTGGCTTGCAGAATAAAGCTTTTTACCCGTTACCTGGTTTAAATTTAGACATGTTACTGTACTGAACAACCAGGTTTAAAAATATTCCTGCGTAGGCAAGGCTAATTGACTTCTACAATAATGGGTGCGATTCACCCAATAATGGAAGAAAAACCTGTTAATTATAGATGGCAATCTATTTGAGGTTTTTCAACTCATAATTTAAAGTTTGACTTAACCAGGCATGAGACTTTTTTAAGGCAGTCTAGAAGCATGCCAACAATTCACACACCACTACGGAGAGTTTACCTTTGCAATGATTACTGACTGAGCTGGGTAGCAAAGAGATATGCACAAGGTGCAGAGTCCCATAGGATAGGCAATTTTCTTAAATCTGGACCCTGCAAAAAACAAACAAACAAACCATCTAATTACTATGAAGCATACAGAAACAATCCTATTGAATAGCTATGTAACTTGCTGGAAGCCTACAACATTACTTCCTTGTCTTCCCTAATGAGAATTCCATTAATTCCATCTGAGGTGCCTATGGAGTTTGTGTGTGCACAGGTGTCTCTATTCACTTAAACGGAGAGAATCCACATGGGTGACTGAAACTACTGAAATGAATGGGATCAGCCTCCCACAGGAGCCCACAACATTGATGGGCAAATACAAAGAAGCATTCCACACACACACCATTTACAAGTCAACCACACTGCTTGTAAAAGGAGTTCGGTGAGGCCTCCAACCCCCATCTCTCCCTGGTTCCAATGTGTGGATTTTTTGGTCTGCGCTGTGCAGGCAGGTTCAGAATTATACACACACACACACACACACACACACACACACACACACCTGCACACACACATATCTGCACACACACTAAACAAATAGTGACAGTCTCTGGAAAATATTTACCAATCTGCAGTCTTAGAAATGGGTCTTTAGAGGGGTTTTTTCTCTCAAAGAAACAAACAAAAATTTTGGTACACGAAAGCAACATGCCCATCCTCAGCCATGAACGTGGTTAGTGAAAGTTTAACTCTACATGGATGCATCTGCAACAGTTTGTATGGCTGCTTCAGTGAGAAATATTGTTGCCCAAATCAGGTAAGTTCTTTTTGGGCTGTACCGTCTGGTTAACTTTAGCCCCTCTTCAGATAACTACAGCCAGTCATGACAGAGGAACTTGCCTGTGTGATCTGGTCTGCAATCTATGGTATGGCTTCTTATTAAAAACATATTGTCCACTCGCAGGAAGCAAAGAACAGGTACCCCCCCCCCTTACCTTTCCTTGCTAGGACTAGCCCAGTCAGTCCTGAAATTGTAATTGCACCAACTTTTGGAAGAAATTCTGGAGGGGGATTCTTCAGATAAACATAGGTATCTTAAAAATAAAGAACGGTACAATATTTGAAGATCTTTTTCCTTGCACTTCGGGAATTTGAGTTATTACTTATAATGGCATACATACGCAGGGATGAAAACAGCTATAAATAACAACCATGTAACCAAATTGTATGGAAAGTGGAGCGATACTTTAAAAAAAACACCAAAGAAAAACCAGGGCACGCCTCCCTCCCACTCCTTATAATCCCACCTATCAAAGAAGCTCATCTGGTGGGTACAAGAGGGCCTTTTCAGTGGCAGCCCCATGGTTGCTGAACAACTTCCCCAGGGAGGTCTACCTGGGCCCCCTCACTGTCAAGGCAGTTGAAGACAGCTTTATTTAGAACTGCATTTTGACTGATTGAGTTATTATTGAATGATAGTCCTGACTGGAGTATTAAAACTGTGACCTTTTATGTATTTTTATCATCCTTGTTTAATTTATATTGTTTTCATTCTGCCTTTATCATCGTTTTATTCATCTTTGTAAGCACCTGGAGTTCTGCAAGGGATAAAAGGTGGCTAGTAAATGTTTTAAATAAATAAATAATAAAACAATCAGGTCTGTGCTTTACATGGTCATATGTGAGTAGAGAAAGGCTATACTCACCCACCTTTTCCAAACTGTATAGAAGATATCACTCCATGTTTTACGAAGAGATAAGCATTCTGCATAAAAAGAACAAAGTACAGGTTTTTCCCATCGGAACTCTATGTCAACAGTCAGAAATCCACATCTTTCACCTACAAATATCAAATTACTTATCTTAACAAAGAGCAGGAGCAACAAAACTTTTATAACTAAAGACTGGGTGGAACTGCATGGAGCAGCAGCACTGGATCCTATTAAAAAGATCCGTGTGCATGGGAGGGACAATTTTGACCAATTCACCTGCCCACAGCAGCCCTTCACCATCCCCCACATGCTGCTCAGGGGGGGGGTCTCCTGTCCCCCAGAGCAGCACTTTGGGGGGTCTTTTTGGTGGGGAAGTTATGCATCCATTCACAGACGTTGTAGACTGGATCCCAGCTTATCTTAAGATGGTGGTATCCTACATACTAATGCAACCCTGCCAATATCTGTTAAACCAAAACAATATTAAGAATTCCAGCGTTCCCCAAGATTTTTTTTAAAAAACATGAATATTGATCAGGATCCAAAGAGCAATGTGAAATGTTTAACTTATCAGTCCCAAGGCAACAGCAACAAACCAGCATAACACCTCTTTTTCTTCCCATTGCTATCTTAGATGCATAGTAGGAATCTATCATTCCACTGAATTTCTTCATTATAAAATTCAACAACAGAGTAAGTAACAGGATGTTTTTTTTGAGGCCTTGTAATGCATCAAACTTTCAAGCACCAGGAAGGGACAGAACTGAAGTCAAAATCCCCAGGCCTCAAACCCCAAACATATAAGTGCCTGCCTGGAATTGTTCCAGTTTTCGTGACACACACTGACATATGCCTGGAAAACACACCCCTGATTGTGTTAAGAACAGAGACATGTGTTTCAAGAGAGATAGTTCTCATTTATGCAGCATAAACTTTTTGTGAAAACAGTTGTCCTGAAAATTCACACCACAAGAGGTCACTCCTTTCCCTAGCTTGGATATACAACAAAAACTTCTGGGGTGGGTGGGAAGGATTCTTTAAACGAGGGTCAAAATACTTGAGGCAAACATGCAACTAAAACTTGAAGACAGGAACATTTTTCATTCTTGCCCAACCTTCCACTAACAGGACAACATCCTATGCAAACAATAGCAAAGACTTGGATTTTCACATCTACATCACCCCCCACCCCACCCCACCCCGGGAGAACAGAGGACATCTAAACCAAAGAAGTGTCTGAGTGATCTTGCTGACTAGTTTGTGATGCTTTAATTGCTTCTAACAAAAGTATTAGATTTTTTTTTTTAAACAGAGCAACGTGGCTACAAAATAAAGTTGTTTTGAACTCCAAGGAGTTCTTGTTTGGGCAAAATATTTTTTTCCCTCCTTTCTGTGTTTTTGGAAATGTTTCTTCTATTCTCAAGCGTTTGTCTAAGAGGAACTCTTTTCACGTTGAAACTCACTGAAAATAATTGGACTAAATAAATCTGGTTTAATCTGTAGAAATCTTTGCGATTTCATAGCAGCTCTGATTTATCTACAGCTCACTTATGGCTAAACGTGAATGCCTGACCAATTTGATAATTTAAATGCTCTTACCCTGCACCCATTAATATAGTAACCCACTGACTTTCGTACTGAAGAAATCCCGCTTTGCAAGCGGCCAGGCTTTTCATCGATGTATCTTGATTTCAGAGGCGGTGCATTATAAACAGAAAGCTTGGAGGGGAAGGAGAAAAAATAATAATCATGCAGCAAATAACTAAGAAAACACAATGAAAATGGCTAAATTTCTCCAAGGACACAAATTCTCCTGTTTAAACCTTTAAATGGGATTATCTTCTCTGTCACCCTTATCCACCTATCAGTTTGCTCACGAGAGCTGACTTTCAGGCAAGCAAATGCTACTCCACAGACGCAGACATACTAAGACACTGCCAGCCTGCGTTGCCTCTAAGCTGAGTTAGTGTGAGCTAGCTCACAGTTTTTTAACCTCTGGCTCATGCATTTTCGTCTTAGCTCAGGAAGGATGGCTCCAAAGCAAACTAATTTATGCAGCAGCCAAATTGCTCGCTCACAACTTTAATGCCTGTAGCTCACAAAAGTAGATTTTTTGCTCACAAGACTCCACAGCTTAGAGGGAATGTTGTGTATGTTTAAACCAGCACTAGTCAGCTGGTGGCCTACGGTTGTGAAGCTGACAGGGATAGGATGTGTGTGAGCATTTGGATAAAGATTATCTAATGCAGGGGTTTCTACCTTCAGACATCCCCTTCCATTTCTATATGTTGGCTGGGCCCATCAGAGAACTTTGGCAAGTAGCAGAGGATTCCATGGACTCTTCTATGGCGCATCCTCAGTAAATACAGGGCACTAGGTCAAGGCCTGTTTGACATCATCACCTTATGTGAACTAACAGTGTGCCTTAGAATACACCCTGAACTATACTGTGCTTGCACACGGCAGCGGAAGCTCCGTCATAGTGGGCTGGTTGGGAACCCCGGAGGTGCTGCCTTCAGTTCCAAAGAAGACAGGTGAGGGCTACAGGGAATAAATAAAACCATTCTTCCTTCTACTTTTATGTTTATGGACCCTTTCCCAGATCCTGGTGTCAGATAATATTATGGGGCATTGAAGCACCTATATTCACCTGACATGAGGCATGGGGTTTGATGATACTGTCTATCATGCCATCGACTGTTTTATTGCTTTTACTGTTTTATTGTTTAATGGACTAGATGCTGTAAGCCATCCTGAGCCCACTTGTGGGGCAGGGCATAAATTGAATTAATAACAATAACAATAAAAATAATAATATCCTATTCTGCTTCTTGTGAGATAAAATTCAGAGGGAAACATGTATTCTCTTTGCAGACGTTCAGGGAGCTCTTACAAAACCTACCTGATGTGCTTTAACTGGCTGGGATTTGGGTTCCTCCTCTCCTACGGCATACACATTAATAGACGCACATGCCAAAGTGGCAGGGACGGCTGCCCATTTTGCCATCTGGTGGCAGAAAGATCAAGAAAACACAAGCAACTGCTTAAAAAGGACATCATCTTTTATTCATCGAAATTCAGTTTTATTTCGGCAATGTGTCTATCTGTTCGCTAAACACAACAAGCTATTTCATCTTACAGAGGATTTGAGAAAACGGAGGGTAAAAAAGGCATTCCAAAAGCACTGTCAAAGTTTCTCAAACAGACTGATGAAAGGAGGTTCAAATTATATAAATGGTTCATACTAAGCAGGTTTGGATGCAAGACAAGTCACTTACCGTAGCTTCTGCGGCCCCGCTTCCTGGACCTGTAATCTGAAAAGCACTTATTGGGGGGAATTATTTGTGAAGCGGTCGTAAGCAATTTGGTGCAGGAATCTGCTTTTTTGATTTATGTTGCTCCAGAAAGTATCATGTGCAGTGGTGATGCTACAGCTGTAATAAATCATAACACACTGTCAAAATGTGTCAGTAGAAGTCCTTTTTGTAACAGGAAAACTGAATTAAAAGCTCTCCCAAGATTAAAGTGACGCTAATAATGTATTAAACTGCATTTGGAATTTTTAAAAAACTGTATTAACTTATATTGCTAAAATAAGATCTATGCAGGTACTCTCCTCAAGGTTTGTTTCCCTTGATTCTCCCAAGATGATTTCCAATCCAGTTGGCTTAAGGCTGTTTATAGCCATATTAATAGAATTGGCTCTTCTCCTCAAGCACTCTTAACTTATGGACTTGAGCAAGCAAAAGGGCTGATTAAAGAAAGAATCGAGGATATAGAGCAGCAACCTGATATCTCTAGTACATCAAAACTTGGGGTGTTGCTGAATGTCAAAAGCACTATTGAGCGGGCAACATATCTGGCCTCGGTGGAAGTGAATAGTTTTAGAAGGGCGTTTACTCTACCTAGGTGTTTTGCTCTCCCTTCCACGGTTATTGAGGGCAGGTATACGAAAATCCCCTATCCAGAAAGGTTATGCTCTTGTTCTCTTGGGGAGGGTGCGTCTGTAGAGCACGTATGCTCTTTAGCTGTCCACTCTACAGGGAAGTATGTCTTGGAGTTATTACTTTGTTATTTGATATGATCCCCGGCCATGTAAATACAAATAAAGCAAGGCCGCGTTGGTTTTTGTCGGATAATAATTCTAAGTTCACATGTCAAGTTGCTAAATTCTGCGCATTAATTTTCAAACTATGGGAATTGCACCTTAAAAGCTCTTAAATTTAATTTTTTTTAATTATTGTATTTTATGTTTGACTAAACTGTATGCTGGTCTAAAGACCGTAATAAACAACAACTACTACCATCATGCATGTAGTAAGCGGCTGGACAAACACTTGTCAGGGATGCTCTAGGCTGATCCTGCATTGGACAGGGGGATGGACTAGATGGCCTGGATGACCCCCTTCCAACTCTGTGATTCTATAGTACAATTTTACATAGCCTTGACTGAGCCCAATACACATATATCTACTTTCTTACCTAACCTCTTCTAAAATTCTAGAAAAACGGATTGCACATGTTTCTAGACCTCAGGATAAAGGAGAAAATGTGGAAACGGCACATGAGTAGTTTCTAGTGAAGTATCAGACAGATTTCACTCAAGAGCTGCGCTGCAGTCGCGCCTCCCTTTGCCCCGCTTCTATTGGTCAATTTCCCACTCGAAGCCGCGCGGCTGCATTTTGACCCGTGGCTTTGCCCGATTTTCCCCGCAGTTTCGTGATCCTGTTTTTTGAGGATCACGAAGCCGTGGGGAAAATCGGGCGATGCCGTGGGTCAAAATGCGGCTGCGCAGCTTCGAGTGGGAAATTGACCAATAGAAGCAGGGCAAAGGGAGGCGCGACCACTGCACAGTTCTTGTGTCTGTAATCTGCCATCCACTCCCCAATAATCAGGCCATCTCCCCAGGCCCTTCTCATTCCAACTACCTCATCCCTTCTCTGCCTCCACAGTCCTAGTTCCTGCCCGGAAACCTCTTAAACTTTTAATGCTTTTAAAGACAAGATTTTAGACACTAGGAATGTATTGCATGAAGTTTTTGTAAGACAATCCACAGCATTAGACAATGATGACTCCTGTGCATACTGAAGATGTATATTTTCAAGCATGCGTTTGTTTAAACATGACTAATTTTGTCCATAGTTTTAATAGGCTATAATGTGTATTGGTTGTATGCTCTTGAAAAGTACAGTGCTTTCAATGTCATAAAGTTAAACTAGATATTCAGATATGCTGTCTGGTTTGTTACAACTGCATGTGACTGTTTCTGTGCCCCTGTGCGTTCTCTTCATTACTACAAAATGTGCATTTTCATTACTTCCCTCATCTCAGATGGCAGAAAGTGAGACAGCAGAGGGTGCAGCCGTCAGCCGCACTCCCTCTCCTTAGTATTGAGAAAACTCACAATCTTGCTTGTAAGTAACTAAGGCACTTGCAATTTTATAATTCACAAATATGCCTTAAATATGTTCAGGCTTGATAAGGAAGTGCCTATTGCATACATCTCAACTTTCCCAAAATGTCAGGGGTTGTCAACGTTATTTTTGCCCCCACGGCTTCAAAGTTTTTGCAAATTTTAATTGCCAGCTATTTACTTAACAAAGACCGCTGTCTACTCTCCTCATTAACCTCTGAATTCCTTAAATACAGAACAAAATTCTAGATTACAGGTATGCAGTGTATTAAATGAGCCAGTTTGGTGTAGAAGTTAAGTGCGCGGACTCTAATATGGGAGAACCGGGTTTGATTCCCCACTCCTCAACATGCACCTTGGCCAAGCTGTAGTTCTGATAAGAGCTGTTCTTGAAAAAGAGCAGTTTCTGTCAAGAGCTCTCTCAGTCCCACCTACCTCACAGGGTGTCTGTTGTGGGGAGGGGAAGGGAAAGGAGTTTGTAGGCCGCTCTGAGACACCTTCTTAAATATGAATACCCTGGCTTAACTGGTTTGTGAATCAAGATCTCCCATCCAAAATCCTTTATCTCTGTTCCGTCTTTGCCACATAAGAGTCACCAGCCACCACACAAGGGGATCAAACTAGTTACAATGGAAAATGAAAGATAAAACAGACTCACTGTGTTGCAGGAACAGATAAAGGAGCAGACAAATGAAGCAGCGAAGATGAAAAAGAACAATAGGAAAGTTACAGGTGTGTTAAATGCACGGAAGACAACGTTACCTAAAATGATACATGAGCCTGCAAAAGCAAGCGTTATCAACATTTTTAAAAGAGTAAGCAGAAAAGCAGAAGGTTGTAGGAGTTTTAAAAGGGTAATAATCAAGCGAACTACAGAAGAATACAAAACATGATTTATACAAGAAAGCATGTAATACACAGGTAAATGCACAGAATCACTCACAGGCCGCATTCAGACGTGGTGACAGAGGTTTGCGTGTGATGCATGTGAGCACAACCTCTGGTTGACCTTGAGGATGCACCTCCCCCCTCCCCTTCTGGAGTCAGTGAGCCTATGGGGAAGAATCACATTCCAACTCATGTAGGCACCTGAATGCAGATGTCAATGTGAACTGAAGTCCAGGAAGCTTTGGATTGCGCCAGAGATGAGGGACAGAACATTTTCCAGTGCTGTATTTTTACATGGAAAAGGAAGTCTAAAAATGGAAAATTCGTATTGTCGCTATTATATTATTAGGTAAGTTTGGTGGTTTCAAAGTTGTAATCAGACATAGGTAGGTCTACTCCTGAAGTCAGAGACTCCAATTGGTACAGAATGCCACAGCTCAGTTATTATTGGGAGATAGGTGGAGGATGCATATCATACCCGTTTTGCATTCACTCCATTGGCTGACCAGCAGTTACTGGGTTCAGTTCAAGGTAGATAGGCTGGAACAGTGGGCTGAGACAAATAAAATGAATTTTAATAGAGAGAAGTGCAAAGTCCTACACTTAGGTACAAAAAATCAAAGGCACAGATATAGAATGGGAGGGACTTGGCTTGACAGCGGAACATGTGAAAGGGATCTAGGTGTTCTGCTTGATCACAAGCTAAACATGAGCCTCCAGTGTGATGTGGCTGTGAAGAAAGCTAATGCAATCTTAGGATGCATTAACAGAAGCACTGTGTCCAGATCACGGGAGGTGGTAGTTCCGCTCTATTCTGCTATGGTCAGGCCTCACCTGGAGTACTGTGTCCAGTTTGGGGCGCCACATTTTAGGAAGGATGTTGACAAGCTCAAGCGCGTCTAGAAGAGGGCAACCAGGATGGTGAGAGGGTTTGAACCCAAGTCTTATGAGGAAAGGCTGAAAGAGTTGGGTATGTTTAGCCTGGGAAAGAGAAGGCTTAGAGGGGACATGATTGCAGTCTTCAAGTATTTGAAGGGCTGTCATGTAGAAGATGGAGCAGATCTATTATCTCTTTCTCCGGATTGCAAGACTAGATCTAATGGGTGGAAATTACAAGGGAGTCGTTACCGGCTAATTATCAGGAGAAACTTCCTAACTGTAAGAGTGGTTGAGCAGTGGAACAGTCTGACTCAGGAGGTGGTGGAGGCTCCTTCGCTGGACGTTTTCAAACGGAGGCTGGACGACCCTCTTTCAGGTATGTTGTAGGGCTATCTTTCGGCTATGCTCCTGCAGAGTGCAGGGGGTTGGACTAGATGACCTGCAAGGTCCCTTCTAACTCTAACATTCTATGATTCTACGATAAGCCCTTCGTGGCTTTGGCACCTCATATCTGCAAGGGTGAATCTCTCCTCCTATGCTCTGCTACGACAGCTTTATCCATCTGAGTGGGACCTTCAGGAGGTGCCATCCTGCAAATGGGAAAGATGGACACGAGGCTTCTTTGCGGTGGCCCCCACATTACGAACGGCATGCCTGAGGATGTCAGGAAGGCTCCCATGCTTCTGTCATTCTACAGACTACATAGAACTGTTCAGAAGCACATTCTTATAAAGGTATAACAGAATGATTCAGGAAGGTGATTGTACAAAGGGAATGTGGACTGTACCACTGTCCATAGGATGTTTTATGTGTTCGCGGTATGTATTATCTTGCAGTGCTTGCACTGCATTGCTTTTTAAAAAGGTAAAGGTTCCCGCGCTCGAAAGCCAGTCGAATGCGACTCTAGGGTTGCGGTGCTCATCTCCGTTTCAAAGCCGAAGAGCCAGCGCTGTCCGAAGACGTTTCCATGGTCATGTGGCCGGCATGACTAAAAACCAAGGCGCACGGAACGCTGTTACCTTCCCACTGAAGTGGTACCTATTTACCTACTTGCAATGTCTTGCTTTCGAACTGCTAGGTTGGCAGGAGCTGGAACTAGAGACGGGAGCTCACTCTGTCATGTGGCAACTCGGGTCTCGAACTGCTGAACTCCCGACCTTCCACAGCCTGCAGTTCAGCGTCTTAACCACTTGAGCCACCGCAGCTCCAGCTTTTTACTTATGTAATAATACAACATTCTGCATTGTTTAACATGTCACGTCGATGCCTTATTTCAGATTTTGTAATCCTAGTCCTATTACATTGCTGATTAGGTATCTCATCCCATAGATAGCATTGATTTACAATTTATACTGTGTAATCTGCCTCGGGGGATGTGGAATGGTATAGTATAGCCTGATCTTGTCAGATCTCAGAAGTTAAGCAGAGTTGTACTTGGATGGGAGACCCCAAGGAAGACTTGGCAGAGGAAGGCAATAGCAGACCACCTCTGCTTAATCACTAGCCTTGAAAACCCTATGGGGTTGACATAAATTGGCTGCGACTTGATGGCACTTTATACACACACACACACACACACACACACACACAACCTGCCTTGAGTTTCAGTGAGAAAGCTGGATTATAAATAAAGTAAATAAAAACATGCTTTTAGGCGACATTCCCTAGGATGTGTGAGGGGATACATGTATGTTTTGTTGAACTGGAAACCAGGTTCATATGACTGCTATGAATGATAATAATTTCTTTGTATTTTGTATAAAGTATATTTTTATGATGTAAAATAAAATTAAAAAGTTAATTGCAAAAAAGAAGAAGAACTGGAAACCAGGGGTGGAGTGGGGAATAAAACCACAAACATGCATAATAATCCAAATTAAAAAATCATGTTATGAATTCAAGCTAAGCATGTCTTAAAAACCCTGAAATTAAAAATTTATTTCTATGTCTCCTTGGTTATTATTCCAGTATTATCACTTCTGCATAAAGCACTGAATTAGTTTGACTATAGCATTTAAACCACAGTTATTATTTTTTTAAATCAAATATTCAAGTTCAAATATTTGTTGGTCATAGAACACAAAGTTAACATGAGACACTTTTAAAATGTGTTCACTAAATATAAACATAAAAAACAAACATGCTAAATCAAATCAATAAACATGCTAAATCAAATCAATTTCTTGAACAGCACTAATTGCTTTGCTTTTGGAAGTCAATTGTGCAATGATTAATGCGATGCTACTGTGCACCATTCCACTGCCCAGTAATTATCTGGATACCGATATTCTGGTTTTATTGAAAAACTGCCACCCTCAACCAGAGGACAGCAGTGGAACTCTGCCTACGGACTTTGACTCTGCTATGTCTTTACAGCACTTGGGGAGGCTCAGACAGGAGTTTGACCCTTTACACAGCCTACTTCTCCTTTCGTCACAGACTGATCTGATTTAAAGATCACCAGTGTCATTCTCGGAAGAATCACACCCTTCTAAGTACACTGAAGTCTACGGACTTAGAAGGATGTTGCTCTTCTCAGGACAGCCCCATATGTCTTACAAAGAAACTGGAACACATTTCAGCACGAGCCTCAATACTTTTAAGACTGAGATCTAGAGCTTTTCTCTAACTGAAAGCTGGTTTATAGGTACAAGCCTTCATGTAGATTTTAACACATTTTGTTCTAGTGCACCCAAATTGGACCAGAAAGACCTAGATTCAAATGCACACAACCATGAACTCTAACTGAACTCTCAACCTAACCTACTCCACAGGGTTTTTCTAAGGCTAAAGTAAGGGTGGGGCTGACTGATTCCCTGAGCATGCTGAGAGAAGAGTGAGGTGAAATGTAGGTGGAGGAGTAATAAAGATGAAAATCTATTTGAACATATTTTGATAGCCCACTGAAACAAGGGCACATTTTGTATTTAAGTAGCAACAACAAACATGCAATGGCTTTAAACAGGAGTTGATGCTAAACGGCAGTAAGTTGCCAGCTGTATCAAAGTTACAGCGAACAGCATGCAAAAAGAACAAGGTATTGGTTTAATGGGATGTACAAGGAATGTCCATTCAGAGGGGAAACCGTGTCTTCTCTTCTGCTAGCATAATATTTATGATATGGAACTCTAAAGCCAGGCTACAAGGAGAAATTTTTCAGTAGCTTCAGCTAGTAAAGGTAAAGGTCCCCTTGCTCGAAAGCCAGTCGAATCCGACTCTAGGGTTGTGGTGCTCATCTCCGTTTCCAAGCCAAAGAGCCAGCGCTGTCCGAAGACGTTTCCATGGTCATGTGGCTGGCATGACTAAACACCAAGGTGCACGGAGCGCTGTTACCTTCCCACCAAAGTGGTACCTATTTATCTACTTGCAATTTCTTGCTTTCGAACTGCTAGGTTGGCAGGAGCTGGAACTAGAGACAGGAGCTCACCCTGTCTTGCAGCACCCGGGTCTTGAACTGCTGAACTACTGACCTTCCACAGCCTGCAGTTCAGCGTCTTAACCACTTGAGCCACCGCAGCTCAGCTAATCGAGACATAATATCTGTTTTTATCTTTTCAGTCACAAGCTGCTATTCTGCTGGATCATCTTGCACTGGTGATCAGTTTTGTGGGGGGAAAGCATTTTATTCTGGGGGGAATAATCCTATTATTATTATAGTCATGACACTGTCATTGGACTTTGAAGGTTGTTACACATACTGCAGTGACAGTCTCATTGTACTTTGAGGAGGGTGGCATGGCTGAGTTGCTACTCTTATTTTAAATTCCAAAGGAATTCTGGGAAGTGTAGTTCAGTGATCCGAGGATATCTGCGAATACAACCTCTCTCTTGCTCTTGCACCTATACTTTCCAGGACAGATGCATTTTTAAAATGCTTGTAATATATGTTCCGTGCGCCTTGGCGTCTAGTCATGTCGGCCACATGACCACGGAAATGTCTTTGGACAGCGCTGGCTCTTTGGCTTGGAAATGGAGATGAACACCACATCCCTAGAGTTGGATTCGACTGGCTTTTGAGCAAGGGAAACCTTCACCTTCAATGTATGTGCACTTACATCGACATGTCCCAAATACGTACAACCGTGCTCCCCTATTTTAGGCTTCTTGCTCTGACAAAGCTCTGTTTTTATTAACACCAGAACCACAAAAGGTCATCTTTAGGCAGACTCAAAGAAAAACAACATATTGAATATGGCAGTCCTTCATGCTTACATGAAGAAGACTGATAGGAGAAAGTGGCACCTTGAGGCTTAAAAAGGTAAAGGTTCCGTTGCTCGAAAGCCAGTTGAATCCGACTCTAGGGTTGTGGTGCTCATCTCCATTTCGAAGCCAAAGAGCCAGCGCTGTCCGAAGATGTTTCCGTGGTCATGTGGCCGGCATGACTAAACACCAAGGCGCACGGAACGCTGTTACCTTCCCACTGAAGTGGTACCTATTTATCTACTTGCAATTTCTTGCTTTCGAACTGCTAGGTAGGCAGGAGCTGGAACTAGAGACGGGAGCTCACTCCGACATGCGGCACACTCGGGTCTCGAACTGCTGAACTCCCGCCCTTCCACAGCCTGCAGTTCAGCGTCTTAACCACTTGAGCCACCACAGCTCCTTACCTTGAGGCTTAATCCTCTCCCAATCCAGAAGAATACCAGAGGGACACAAAGACTAGGATGGCATCACAGTGATAGTTATATATGTATTTTAATTAAAGAGGTTCATGTTTTACTACCATTTTAATAGTGTATTTTAGTCGGGAAAATGGTATTCATTTTGAACTGCTTAATTACCTATGTTTTTACGATCTGGTTGGTGGTTTTATGCTGGGTTTTAGTGTTTTACCTTCTTACTATGAAACAGCACAAAAATGCCCTAAATACGTAAACAAAGCATGGAAGCCAGTGTGACGAAGAGGAGAACTAGGTCCGACACCCCACTTTGCCCCAGAAGCTGGGCCAGTCCCCCACTGTCAACTTAACCTACCTCACAGAATTGTTGTGAGGACACAATGGAGGAGAGGAAAGCTGCTTTGGGTGCCCCTTGGGGGAAAAGGCAGAGTATGAAGTAAATAAATAAATAAATAAAGCCAAGAGTGAACAGCACTGAAGTTAAGAACATAAGAGACGCCAATGTTGGATCAGTCCAAAGGCCCATCCAGTCCAACACTCTGTGTCACACAGTGGCCAGAAATACCAGTGCCATCAGGAGGTCCACCAGTGGGGCCAGGACATTAGAAGCCCTCCCACTGTTGACCCCCCCCCCAAGCACCAAGAAGACAGAGCATCACTTGCCCCAGAGCCCCTATCTATACCTTGTGGCATAAGACCCAAGTTCTGGGCCTTGAAGGACACTACCAAGGTTAGTTTCTTCAGCATAGGATCGAAACCCGAAGGTATTTAAAAAGAGGGCAAGAGGGTTCCTGTAAAACAAACATGACTTATGGAAAAAAGAGGCACTGGCCTTGATAGGCATAAAGACACAGACATGTCCAAATAGGGATGCAGAGCCAAGCCAAACTGAGAAAAATAAGAACACAATAGTGGTGTCAGTAACAAGAACAGATTTGTGGGGTGGCTCACTATATAAGAAGTGACTGAACTCTTTATAAAGTGCTGCCTGTGTACGCATCGTCATAGGGAGTTGTGAAAAAATAAAGACAGGGCTCTGCCCTCCAAGAGTTCACAGTCTAAAAGAAAATAGCAGGCAAAGAGGATGGAGAGAGACACCCCTTGCAGGGAGAATAAAAACACAATATAATACAGGACATAAGCAGATGTCCAAAAAATAAACGTTGCAGAAAGGATTATGAAAGAAAAAGAAAATAATGAAACGGTGAAAGCTCCAGCTGGGAAGATCGATAAAAGGAAGACCGCTTTCACAAATCTCCTTTTTATCCAATGCTGGGGACCAGCTGGGGCTCACAGATTCCTGGAAATCACACCCAACCCCATCCTCTTCCATGTAAGTCCTCCCCCCGCCCCTGAATCCAGAGCTGGCAACCAGCCTGACAGAACAGCGCTGCAAATTCTCATACATCAACTGCTAACTTTTAATTTTAGCACTCTCTCCTCTTCCATATATTTTTGTATCAGACAAATAACACATTTGCTTTTTTCCAATTTAAAACAGTCAGTTTTAAATAATCATCTCTCTTTTATTGTTAAATATAATGGGCAATTCCAACAAACTAGTGTGGGGGCCTATTTTTAAATAAAACAGCCAGGGGGAAAAAATCAACCCCCAGCATGACCTGTTTTTGCAGAGCAGCCAGAATAACGTAATGGCAAGAACTCTGGCCCAAGGTTGGGGAGGCCTGAGGTCAAATTCACACTTAGCGCACTGCACCTCCAGCCGGCCACTCTGTCCGCCCACCCCAAAACCACTGTGATGAAAAAATTGGAAAGGGGCGAAATCATAAATAGGTCACAAGACGGAGGAATACATATACTGAAGTGAGAAGTCCAGCTCCCAACTCCTAAAAAAGTTTAATGCGTGACCGCAAGCCAGTCATACCCTCCTCTCTTTTCATGCCTAACCTCCCTCACAAGGTCGTTGTTGTGAGCATAAAACGGAGGAGGGGAGAGGAGGCAGGTGCGCCACCCTGAGCTCCCTGGAAGGGGGAAAAAAAAAAGGGATCTGGGTGTGAAGAAGTCAGCAGCTATAGTTTTGGGTTTGTTTGTTTGTTTCCTAGCAGGGGAGTGCAACACTATTATCGCCAGGCTGGTGGCGACCTCCAAAACTGGCAAAGCAGAAAAGCTCAGTGAACGCAGAGATGCAGGAAGCGGGCACTCTGTACACGCTCAGAGACCCCCGCGGCTACTCCCCTCGAGTACAACTCAGTACCTACGCGAAGTCCCTATTTCCGGGGCTTCAGCCTACCCGCCAACTTCCCTGGGAGGGCTCTTCCCTTCAGCACCACAGGCGAGAGAGAGAGGGGGAGGCGCTGGCGAGGGCAGCGGAGGAGCGACTCGACTCACCTTAGCCGCCATCTTGGCCCCGCCTCTTACTCTGAAGGGACCGACTCGGACGGAGCCGCGCCGCGCCTGTCTGACACATCAGAACACGGGGCGGAGGAAGCAGAAGGGCGCGGGGATTGGCTGAGGGGTGCCGTGACGAACGCGCCCCGCCCACTGCCGCTGTCCAATCCATCGTCTTCTGGCTTGCAGGACGAAGCGTGGGAGGGAAATTTATGTTTGGAGAAGAAGGAAAATATACGGACCACTGTTTACCTGCGTTGCTCTTAACGTGCGTGGCAGCAAAAAAAGAGGGGAATGTATTCTCTTTTTAATTCAGTGTCGTTACTTTTTAAATTGTTCATTATTTTATTTTGAAGTGCAGGGGTGGTCCCCCCCCCCCCCCCCCCCCTCTT